GTGCGTACGTATGTATGTATGTATGCATGTATGTATGCATGCATATATGTATGTATGTATATATGTATGTATGTATGCATGCATGCATGCATGCATGTATGTATGTATGTATGTACGTATGTATGTATATAGACACATATGTACACGTGATCCAGGGTCTTGCCCATGCTATGCAACCTTCTCTGACCCTCTTGGATCGCCAAAGCCCTTCAACGAGATGCTCCCGAAAAGCAAATTGATAGGTCCATGGCGGGGTACCATGCAATTATACGTGTATATGTATATGTATATATATACATATAAACATATATATTATATATATTTATTTATTTGCATTTATGTATGTACAAAGTGTACACATACATCCATCCATACATACATACGTGCAGACATCCCTGCATGCATACGCAGCTGTGTGGGTGCATCTGTCTATCCATCTATCTATCTACCTATCTATCTACCTATCTACCTATCTACCTATCTACCTATCTACCTATCTACCTATCTATCTACCTACCTATCTATCTATCTATTTATCTACCTATCTATCTATCTATCTATCTATCTATCTATCTACCTGTCTGTCTGCATATCTATCCATCTACCTACTACCTATCAATCTACCATGCACACATATACATAAACAATACATACATACATACATACATACATACATACATACATACATACATACATACATACATACATACACACACACAGACAGACAAGCAAACAAACACCTACACATACACTTTTGCTGTTTGCTACTCCTACAGGAGCGGAGAACATCAGTCAGTCATGGAGCCCTAAACCCTGAACCCTAAACCCTAAACCCCTGAACCCTTGATCTTCTTGGGAGCTTGATCGACCCGCTTGCAAGGGCGGTGACGGCCGCAGACCCTCGGCGCAGGCCAGCCAGGCAAAGCGCCGCTCTTTAGGGTTTAGGGTTTGGGGAATGCGGAGTTTGGAAGACGGGGTCTAATGTAGCGGTCTAAACAATTACTAATACTATTGTTGGGGTTCCTTATTGGGATTATAGTATACTGGGCCCCAAAACCAATCTAATTATTAAGGCCCCCATATTAGGGGGTTTATGAATAGAGGTGTAACTCGCGAGTTATTTCACATTTCGGGGTTTGTGATTTGGGGTTTATTGAGAAGCCTCAGGCGGAAGACGTGGCCCCGAGTCAGCACTGGAGTTTGCAGACAGTAAGTGCCACACAACACCTCCAGCAATGCATGAAGAGTAGCCCTAAGTTACCTTACCAAGTTTGAACCCTAAACCCTAAACCCTAAACCCTAAAGGGTATGGCAGCTGCTCTAAACCCATGGCAGAGCCCTAAACCACTAAACTCCCGATTTGGATTTGGTGTTGAGAGAGGTGGCCAAGCTGGTGGTGGAGTTCTGGCCCAAGGACAAGCGGTTGGGCATGCGAGGCTCTAGGAAAAGGGCTTTTATCCTAAACCCTACACCCTAAACCCTAAAGCTCTAAAGCCCTAAACCCCAAAACCCTAAAGCCCTAAACCCTAAAACCCTAAAGCCCTGAAGCCCTAAACCCTAGAGCGAGGCTCTGGGAAAAGGGTTGTACCCTAAACCCTAAACCCTAAACCCTAAATCCTGACCCCAAAACCATAAAACCCGAAACTCTAAACCCTAAACCTTAAACCCATAACCCCAAGCCTTAAATCCTAAACCCAAAACCCTAAACAGCCCAGGGCTTCGGGCTTGAGGGTGTAGGGGTTTAAGGGCCTTTAGGGTTTAGGGTTCAGGCTTGAGGGTTTAGGGCTTTAGGGCTTTAGGGCTTCAAGGGCTTTGGGGTTCAGGGTGTAGGCTTGAGTGCTTTAGGGTTGGCTTGCTTGGTTTGGCAGTTGTTGAGTTGGAGAGCTGAGTTTGGACATTTTCAGGTGGGTAGTTACCGTTATAGGGGCCTTATAGAAGGTCTAGAAGCCTTTTTTTCGAAGCCCTATATACCCTAAACTCCCCACCTGTAGTTTCCTTTAACTGAGTTTGGAGTGTACAGTGTAGACTCACTTTGTACCCTTGGCTGCTTAGAAACCCTAAAGCTGAAACCCAGAAGCTCGAAACCCCAAATCCTCTAAAGCCTCAGTCTCTGAACACCCTAAACCCTAAACCCTAAACCCTAGACCCCTAAACCCTAAACCCTAACCTCCCCTCCCCCAAAGAATAGACTCTAAACATCTACCCTGGAACCCGTAGAAGGCGGAAAAGGTCCATAGAGCCCTTTAAGAAACAGAACATCGCGCCCTGGTGGCGTGTGTCTGCATTGGCATGGTTGTAATAGAAGGTTGTTGAGCTATGCGTTATGTTGCCGTATGCATACAGAAAAGATTCGCTACAAGACTAAAGCAGTAACCGTCACGCGCAAAACACGACCCAGAGCCGCCCGTCGTCAGGAGCCTGGCGTGTACCCTTGCACGGTGACACTGACATCGGATGTCGACATCCGCATCTACCAGTTCGAGGGCATCGGGCCCAGTCTTGCTGGAGGGTTCCTTTTAAGAGGTTCTGTGAGGGTTTTCAACAAGATGTTCGACCTATTAATTATCATCTGTGGATCGAACCTGAAAACCCGGTTGAGATCATGCAAGTCCCTATATTATGGGTACTAGAAGCTTTCTGTAGATTGCTTCCAAAGGGTGCACGGGAACCCTTGTTTCTTAAATAGGGTTTAAGCAGGCTTCCGTGCAGGCATTAACGTTCAGCATGGTATGATAGGTTCGTACGCAGCTTTCATAGGGGCAGGGGCTGTCACAGCCTCAGGTGTAAGTATAGAGAGGGTCGCAAGTAAGCTGCGAAACCGTTTATAGTACCTGTATAGTTATACATTATCGTAAGGTGTGTGTGTGTGTGTGTCTATCTATCTATCTATCTATCTATCTGTCTATCTATCTATATACATATGCACCAAAATTCCCATAGACAATATAAAGGCCTCTACATGATGCTTACCTTCGGCTGACCAATCAGGCACCGGCACAGCGCCCAACACGCACTGCTCCCTGACCTTCACCACGCAAGCTCGGCAACTTAGTTGCAGTCGTTTGCCGTCCTTAGCATGAAACCCTATAAGCGCATAAACCCTAAACCAGGATCTCTTCGGTTTAGGTTTTAGGGTTCAGGGTTTTGATTAAATAGAAGAGGGTTTGCGGGCTATTATACCATAATCAAAAAATATTTATAGTAGAATACCACCCCCCCCAACCCTATTCCAATTATGGAGGCCCGTGCATTCACTGCATTGCCAACGCAGCAGGCATTGTTGAGCAGACTAGACCTCCACCAAATCTATGGACGCAGCATATGGGTCAACAGCCCATGCCTGTCTTGAAGAACACATGCAGCGAAGCTTATTCTTTGGAGTCCACCTCTCTTTGGCTTGGCATCGGCCATGCTGCGGATTCAAACCGTGTCGGGTGAAGAACTCGTTGCCCTCGACTTGGCGAGCTTTCTTGAAACGCAGCCCGCCGGCATGCATCCCGTCCGGGCACTGAAGCAACACTTGCACAGCATTTGTGGCGTGTCAAGCTTCAGGCAAAGGCTGTTGTTTCTGGATGATAACCAGGCTCTAGATGACCATGGCACCCTGAGACCTGGCGAAGTTCAAGTCGTACTTCTAAGCTTCTGCCCACCATCGGACGCTCAAGTGACAGCACTTCGAGATGCAGCGGGACGTGGCCTGTCAGCAGAAGTGGAGACTTTTCTACAAAGACCGCAAGACCCAGATTTGGGCGATCCGGCCCCTCTGTTCAAGGCATCCGAGCACGGCCAAACAGAGGTTGCACGCCTTTTGCTGGAGGCCAATGCAGACCAGGACAAGGCCGCCGTGGATGGAGCCACCCCATTTTTCATTGCAGCTCAGGAGGGGCAGCTGGAGCTTGCACGCCTTTTGCTGGAGGCCAAAGCAGACAAGGACAAGGCCACGCTGGATGGCGCCACCCCGTTGTTCATTGCAGCTCAGGAGGGGCAGCTGGAAGTTGCACGCCTTTTGCTGGAAGCCAATGCAGACAAGGACAAGGCCAGGCAGAATGGCGCCACGCCGTTGTTCATTGCAGCTCAGAAAGGGCAGCTGGAGGTTGCACGCCTTTTGCTGGAGGCCAAAGCAGACAAGGACACGGCCATGCAGGATGGCGCTACACCGTTGTTCATTGCAGCTCACGAAGGGCAGCTGGAGATTGCACGCCTTTTGCTGGAGGCCAATGCAGACAAGGACAAGGCCATACTGGATGGAGCCACCCCATTGTTCATTGCAGCTCGGAAGGGGCAGCTGGAACTTTCACGCCTTTTGTTGGAGGTCAATGCAGACAAGGACAAGGCCACGCTGGATGGCGCTACACCTTTGTTCGCTGCAGCTCACCAAGGGCAGCTGGAGGTTGCACGCCTTTTGCTGGAGGCCAATGCGGACAAGGACAAGGCCACGCGGGATGGCGGCACGCCGTTGTTCATTGCAGCTCAGGAGGGGCAGCTGGAGATTGCACGCCTTTTGCTGGAGGCCAACGCAGACAAGGACACGGCCATGCAGGATGGCGCTACACCGTTGCTCATTGCAGCTCACGAAGGGCAGCTGGAGCTTGCACGCCTTTTGCTGGAGGCCAAAGCAGACAAGGACAAGGCCACACTGGATGGAGCTACCCCATTGTTCATTGCAGCTC